CGGGAGGCTCCTAATGTGTTTGCACTATCTCTAGGAACAGTTTATTTATAAGGCTGAGGATCGGGTGTTATAAGCGTGATAAATAATCCTCCCGTTAAAGATAGACGAAGAAATCACCCTGGAGTTCCTATAATAATAATATAGATAAGTTTAACCCCTTAATTACAGACCCTTTAACGACATCGTATAATATTACCTAGGGAATAACACCTATAAAGGAAATCTATATAAGCTGTATTAAAAAGCCTGTAAAGAAGTTAGATTTATGGAGGAATTCGTCAGTAACTGAGAAAACTCCTACTACGGGATGGACTTAAAAAAAGCCTTCCTTCGCGTAATAAGAAAATTCATCAACACCTAAAAACACAACCTGCGCGAAAAACAGATCTTACTTAATAAATCCCCTACAATCTATAAACCCGAACAGTAGTAAAAGATCGTGGAAGAATTACAAAGTGCACTAATCTAAACTATACCGGTAATTAATAAATGGTATTTAGCGTAAGCAGCCCTTATAGACTTACCCACTTATTACGAAATCCTATAGATCGACTATATATATAACACCTGTACATTAAACCATTACTTAAGCTTAAAAACCTATTTCTAACATTTCCTAACACCTTTAAGGGATTCCATAATCCCCTGTGTACATCACCATATTAACCCAGAACATTATCGTGTGGAGATTAAGGAAAAAGGGCTTAATACCTTTATCGTAATCACTAACCTTACTCTAACACGTTATTAGGCTAACCCCACTTAGGAATACAATGTTAATACCTATAAAGGAGAAAGCTACACCCTCCACCTGCTATAGAAAGTAAGACACTGGCACGATTAAGATAAGTATAAGTATTAGTATAAAAGAGAACCCCGTTATCAGCACTATTTTAACATTAAGTTTCTTCACATATATAACATCGTACCTTTTAAAGTTAACTAGAACCTCCCTTGTAATACAGCAGGTATCACCTTAAATAAGCGAGCACTCCACGATACTTATCCAAAAACCTGTTTAAAAAACAAGTCTAGGCCCTCTTAACGGGCCGGAAACCAGTAATTCGCTGGATGGTAAAGGCCACGAGACAAAGAAGAGGTACTTGTCGGCTAAGCCAGAGAAGACCTCTTAACAACAGGATTATTATAATAACCCACCTTAAGGAGGAAAAGAACTATTAGTCTGTCTATATAGACGTAATAGATAAGTTTGGGAAACCATTCCGCGCACAAGCAATAATTAACAGCGGTAGCGCTACCGATATTATTAACCCTAAGCTGGTTAATAAGAAATAACTCCTTTACCGAAAATAAACGTAAGAAATGACAATCCGCTCTGGAAAAGGAGAACTTTACACTTATAATAATAGGAAGCTCACTCATAAGGCACCACTTTTAATCACGGTAAATAGTAATAAACAATAAGTAACCTTTGACATCTTACCAGTTTTTAGCTACGACATAATCCTAGGTAAGCCATGGCTGAAAAAGTATAACCCCGCGATCGACTGGAACACTAGTCAGCTAAGTTTTAGCCGACGGGAAGGACCCAAGGATCCAGGCTTTAATAACCGGATTATACTAACTAATATACCATAAAGGTATACTAAACAGTATAATATAGGTGTTAAACCGGATAACATACCCGCTAAGGATAACCCGAAAAACGCTAAAGTCGATAAACTATCCCTACTATAAATACGGTTTTATAAGACAGATAATCCGCACGACTTAGGTTACAAATCTGGTGATAACTAGAAGGTGCAGTTACGTTAACAACCACCAAAGAAGACAGTAAGATAATAAGATACCTAACCGTAATAACAGGCTCCAGATAACTTATCTAAGGTTCTAAAGGAATACCAGAAGTATTTAGTGTTTAAAGAGAAGCTATTACACTTGCCGGACCACAGACCTTTTAACCATAAGATCGAACTAAAGCCAGGGGCTTAGTTAAAATCTTTCCCAACATACCACCTTAACCCCTGGCAGGCCGAGGCCCTTTAAAAGTATATTAAAGAAAACCTCACCTTAAGATTCATCCAGAAGTCTTAATCACCGGCGGGTTACCTAATGTTATTTGTACTTAAAAAGGACGGTAAACTACATATAGTAGTTAATTACCGTTTATTAAATAAAGTTATTATTAAGAATCGATACTTATTACCCCTAATTAACAAGTTTAAAGAAAAGATCGCCAAAGCAGATTAATTCTTCTCATTTAATTCTCTAAACACGTTTAATCACAAACAAATTATTACAGGAGATAAGTAAAAAACCGCGTTTTAAACACGCCTGGGCCACTACAAATACCAAGTAATGCCTTTCAGGCTTACTAACACCCCCGTAATATACCAGAGCATAATTGACCACGTTTTCCACCCCTTTATTAATAAGTTTATATTTATCTACCTTAATAATATCCTTGTTTACTTAAAAGGAGATAAAAAACATCATAAGTATATCTATCTCGTCCTCTCCGCCCTGGAAAAGGCCAACTTAACAGTAAACCCTAACAAAAGCTAATTCCACGTCCAGGAACTCGATTTCCTAGGATTTAAAATCTCACCCGGAAGGATAAAGATATAGAAGTTAAAGGTTAAGGCAGTTATAAACTGGCCGACACCCACTTTACAAACAGGAGTTTAAGCCTTTATTAGCTTTACAAACTTCTATCAACAGTTCATATAATACTTCGCCAAGATTACTAAACCGCTCTATAAACTCACGGGTAAAGGAAAACCATTTATATAAACCAAATGATATTAAAAGGCGTTTAATAAACTAAAACGTGCCTTTACTACCGCATCAGTGCTAGTACTTCCCGACTTTTCAAAACCCTTCTAAGTCAAGACCAACACCTCTAACTATGTTTATAAAGGAGTGCTAAGCTAAATAAGTGATAACAAACTCTAACATCCCGTGGCCTTCCTTTCGAAAGGGATTTATAAGCCAGCACTAAAATACCCCACCCACGATAAAGAATTAATAGCCATCATCTAGTGTTTCACGGAATAGGCTCCTTACCTTAGTAGCATAGAGGAACCAGTTAAGGTCCTGTCCGACCATAATAACCTACGCTATTTCCTAACGAAGAAACTTAATCCCCGGCAAATAAGATAAGCTAAGTTAATAACACTATTTTATTTTAAAATCCACCACGTTAAGGGAACAGAAAACGGAAAAGCTAACGCCCTTAGCCGTCGCCATAACCACTAAAAGAACGCCAAAGACCTTAAACCAGTTATAATGTTTATTCTAACAGCTGATAAAACCCTGGAATATACACCATAAGTTTTAGACGACTGGATGCCAGAGGAGGTACAGGTTTTTATAAACTAATACCCGGACTGGGAAGTTAATAATAGTATTTAACTTTTTACTAACTCCTGTTAAAAATACTATGTTAAATGGTAATAAGACAACTATTAGGTAAAAAGGTAAGACTCCCCCGGGTATTATAGCACGTCCTGCTAAGTTAAAGGACTTTGCCCAGACTGTGAAAAAGCTAATAAACTGTTAAAAGAAATAAAAGGAGGACCCCGATCAAGTGATCTCCTCTTTTACAAAGGGAAACCCTATATCTACACACCCTTAAAGCAGAAGAAGTACATTTAATAAGTATATAAAGTAAAAGTTAGAGGATATATGGGAAAAGTGAAAACGCTTTTATAAGTATAATAAAGATACACCTTCCTAGGAATAAAAAAATTGGTGGAAGAGGTTATTAATAACTGCAATGTCTGTAACCGAACGAAAACACGTAGATATAAGCCTTACGGGCTTCTTAAACTACTTCTAACCCCTTACGCACCATGGAGTTCTATTTTGATAGACTTTATCACTGGGATCCCTAACTCTAAAGACCTAACGATAAATGTTAGTTATAACTCTATCTGGGTAGTTATTGACAGACTGATAAAATAGGCATATTTTCTACTATGTTTAACACGAATAACAGCCGAATAACTTATTTACCTCTTTAAGCGGTATATTGTCTCCTAACACCTTTAGCCTAATAATATCGTTTCTAATTAAAATAAGCTGTTTGTCTTTAAGTTCTGGTAAAGATTAATATAATAAATAGGTGTAAAAAGCAAGCTGTTAACAGCTTTCCACCCCCAGACCAATGGATAAACGGAACGCTTAAACTAGACCCTTAAAACATACCTCCAAGCGTTTATTAACTTTGAACAGGATAACTGGCTTAAGCTGTTACTAACAGCACAGATAGCTTATAATACCACTATCGTTAAGTTAACTAAGATCTCCCCATTTTTCACACTTTTCAGACGAGAACCGGAGCTTTACAGGGGGCCACCTACAAATACACCTTAAGCTGCCGTCTAAGCTGACTGGCTTTAGGAACTGCATAACCACCTAAGGGCTGAACTTAAATTTACCCGTGAACGAATAAAAGGATATTATAATAGTAAAAGAGCTAAGGGACTGACTCTCCAGGAGGGAGACCCAGTTTACCTTTTTTCACGAAATTTACACACCTAACGGCCAAGCTGTAAACTTAACTTTAAAAAACTCGGACCGTTCCTTATTAAAAGGAAGATCGCTACCTCTAATTACAAACTTAACCTACCCACCTCTATAAAGGTATAGACTAAGGTTTTTCACGTTTCCCTCCTTAAGCTAGTATTAAGGAACGTCCCGCTTGAGAAGAAAATCGAAGTGCACGCCGATAAAAAAGACTTTGATATCGAAGAAATCCTGGATTTACAATATCATAAAGGTAAACTTTATTATCTCATCAGATGGCTAGATTACAGCCCCGAGTCGAACTCTTAGGAGCTAGTTAATAATCTCTCCTACCCCAAACTAATTAAGAAATTCCACTACGAAAATCCAGATTAACCACAACCAGTAAAAAGACACCACCCCTAAAGGACCACGGCGCGAAGGGCATTATAATGGCACTGTTAACCATGCGAAAAGAACCGTTCAACGTACGGCTTTACCTACTGGGTGAAACAGTAAGTTGAAGGTAATAACCCATGCGGGATTTGAACCCACGACCTCCTACTAGCCGACCTTTTGTAAATATGCCTGGCTTATTTATAAAGGATGACAAAGGGCAAGCGCGCTAACTACTACACCAACAGGCCATTTCATTATTATAACTCACCTTTATTACCACAATCCTTAGCCCCTGGTAGCCGGCCTACCTTCCCTAAAATAAATCTAAACGACTGTTAACACCGGACCGAAGTAAAAAAGTGACAACCCACCTTAAAAAGTGGTTATCACCGGTTATAACAACCCCGCAGTCATATCACCAATTAAAAAGCCCTCTTAGTCGAACTAAGCCTCGGAAGTGTTACCCTAAGGAACGACTAGAGCACCACCCAACTGAGAAAGACAAGCCTAGTGATCCTCCTCCTCAAGAATCTCGATCTTATAACCAAAAAGCTTATCAGCGCGAGCTTTAAAAGCCTACAACTAGGCCTTTAGACGAAGGAGCTTCAACAAGGTCTCCCTCTTTTCTTTATCTAAACGCTTCTTCTCTTTAAAAACCACCCGTAGTACTAACGGGTTATTCCCATAAATGTTATAAGACGAAGAAACAGCGCTTAAGTAATTCCCGCAGGACTTGCTTTTACTAGCCACCTTACATTTGAGGTTAAGGGTCTTGTAACGTGAGCAGCGAACAGGTATGACGATACCGAACGTATGAATAAAAAGAACGGCTTTACGGCGGCGCTCGGTAGATAAAAGACGAGGTTTCCTTTATTATTTCCTAATCGTATCAGCAGGTATAATAGCGGTATTACAGGAGGAAAATTACCTACGGTATTCTTTATGGAAAAAGAAGTAAAAAGAGGGGGAATCGTGTAACGACCTACAGGCCACCCTTATAGCCGGAACGGGCCGACGTATCCCCGCAGACGCCACCGTATTAAATACAATGTAAGGGAACCCCACACTGTCTGCTCTAGGAGCTCAGTGCGCTCTGTACAGAGCATCAAGAGCCGACAGAGCACTTACTCTGTCGCTCTGCCCGAAAAAGTACCGAGCGACAGAGCAAAGGTACAAGTTACATCACCATTAGTTAGTATAGATAGCTATCATCGTACCCACGATAATGTGAGGAACCTTCTGTTCCTCACGCAAGTATTCGCTTATCAATTGAACCACTTTCAATTATGTCCTACTACACCAACACTTGAAGTGTTACCCTGTCTTATAGTGACATACGACCACCATTAACCAGTGAACCCCCGTCTGTAAGGACTTGCCGCTGCACTACTCCTCTCTGTCCACCCATCCTATCTAGCGACCCTGCCAACCGTCTGTCGACAGGCCAGAGGTCGTAACAGTATCTTAATCCAGGCGATTACTAAAGCTTAACTTATAAAGAAGATTAACTAAGAGCTTATTACAAAGGTTAAAAACATACGGAGGAAGTATATAAAGAAACATCACGGTAAAATAAGGATCTTGACCGTGGCGGAGTTAAAGAAGGCTAAGGAGGAAAGGCAGGAAAGAGAGGATGTAAAGGAAGTGGTAAAGCGGAGGAGGGCAGCCCTGCGCGGTAAGGGCTTATTTGCGCAGCTTATTTAGAAGGAGATATCTGTTTCTTAGGACTATTTCAATTGCGAATAGCTTCACTTTTACCAATTCCAGCGTTTGTTACGGATTCTACGTAATTTGGATTCATGGTGTTAAGTTTCTTACGAGTCTAGGGGGTGCGGGGACCCTTGCCAAATTCGTGGTGTTAAGGCTTACTTACGTGGCCGGAAAGGCAGGGGGGCCGGAAAGGCAGTGCACTACGTTAGTTGCAGTGCCGATCTGGGTGGCGCCGTCAGCTCCAGCGGGTGGGTTTCCCAAGACCCGAAGTCCCCGCAGTTGTGGAGGGGCCTCGGCACTAGGCTCGGGCAACCAGACATTGGAATGGGCTTTTGTTCTCCCGCTTTGTTTTGTCTTTACATTTTCTATTCCCCAACAAGGGCATTGCTTGAATGCATTCAATGCGCGCTAGGTTCCTCATGGCCGCTGTAGAGCAGTCGCCGCTGTTTCACCAGTCTCCTGACAACGCCGCTCCAGATCTCCACACACATCGACCAGCAGATTGTAGAACCTTGTATCCACCAGTGTTGTAAGCCTCACCCTGGCTTGATTCCTCCGCTCTGAGGAAGTCTCCATCACAATAGGGGGTTCCATCCTTGTTCCTGGGCGGCCACCAAGTGCTTCTCCGTCATTCTCGTCCTTGATATTCCGGCGGACAAGCTCATCGTACACATCAACGCAGAGCTCCTTCATCTGATTGCCTTTGAGCGCCTTGAGCTTATCGACGGCCTTGCGTTGTCGCTGTTCCGGCAGAGTAGAGGCCACCTTCAAGCCAGCAAAGCGCTTCGACCTTCCGATGGCGTAGCGGAAGAGCTGCAGAATGATAGCATTGTTGCAACAGGGGACGTAGAAAATACCTTCGCAGGAGGAGGTGCGGTATACCGGCAGGGCTGCACCGTCAGGTTGGTCGAAATCGTAGCTGGACCTGGTTGCCGTGAGGTCCTTCGCGCCCAGAGGGATCAGGACGGTCGAGATGTCAGAAACTTCGGTCAAGTTGCGCTCCGCAGCGTGGCCGGTGAGGGGGCGCGCTCCTTTCAATCTTTTGACTACCTTTCCGTCCTTTTTGGTGATGGAATGCACGGCCCAGGGAAGCTGCTTGACGGAGTGGTCCAGGTAGATGCCGTCGCTGCCAACAAAGTTAGCAACCTCTCAGCTACTGTGGCCGCGATCATCAAACTTTTGAAGGATGTTTCGGAGGTGGAAAAGCGCGTCACAGAAGTCTCGCACAGCCAACATCGACTCGTCTGCGTCATTTAGCCTTGAGCCGTTCACCGCCGCCGCAAGTCGATCGAGGGCCAAAATCCCGCCGCCGAAAATCAGTATGAGTTCTTCTGTCTTGACCGCAGCGCGACGCTCAGGCGCGATAGCGTCGAGTTCACTCAGCAGTTTCTGGAGAAGGGTGAGCTCCATCCAGGTGCGACCGTCAGATTGAAGGCGCCCGCCATCATTGCGCAGGCGATCGCTTCCGAAATATGCTGTGAGAATACCCTCCGCTGAGGTAAGTGCGCTGACGGCATTCGTGATGTCGCCGACGACCTTCCAGAGCCCGGCGATTGCGACCTTGACGTTCAGTTGGATCAGCTGCATTGTTGCAGTGGAGGATTGGAGGAGCAACTGGATGTCGACGGAAAGAGTTGTGGTGGGAGAAATGCCGTTGAGAAGCCCGCTGGCGTCTTGTCCGTGAGAGAATCAAAGGAAGGTGCGGGGGAGGACGCCGTTGGACTGCAGGCACCAGGCCCCAGGGGCCAGGATGAGCAATGGACGAGAACGACTGGCTGAATTTTCACACCACTGCCTTCATTGGCCGCGGACCATCAAATTGCGGCTGACAACCTGAACTGCGTGTGGTTGAGGTCGAGTTCTCGAGCCCCACAATTGTGCGCAGCGAAAAAGCAACTCTGTGGAGAACTTATGTCTCTGCCTTGTCTTGCCAAGGCAGTCCAAATTCGGGCACCGGATCAGGGAATAGAGGTGCCGAAGCAAGCACACAGCTCCCGGGCTACAATGCGGACTCTGCATTGGCGCTTGAAGTTCGCGATGCCTCGTCTCTGTTCCTCACCCCCAAGCACCAGCCAGCAAACGCCTTGCGCAACGGGCCATGTCTACGAAGGATCCAGCCATACAAAGGGTCCGTTTGGCCAGTGCGCCCAGCGTCGTTGACCCTGGGAAGAGGCATCGTTCAACCTTAGCCAGGTCCTTTTTGAATCAAAGCAGCGCCTCGTAAATACATACTAAGTATTTCAAGATGTAAAATAAGATCGCATATGAAGCAGCAGATTCCGGTTCCTGCTAGCTTGAGGCATTTGCCAGCTTGCGTTGCGTGTTTTCGCAAGGAGCAGATGGCTCCTCTCTTCCAACCGGAGCCTTCGTACACTCGCCCCTACCCCTCCATCTCCTGCACCGACGACCTGTAGCTTCCCTTCTTGCTTTATATTCCTTTGCACACACAGCTTCCTGCTATTGGCTAAAACGTTCACCCTCACCCGACCGCTCAAGGGTCAAAGCAGCAAAAAGAAACAGCCAGGTGACTAGCGAGTTGCGCGATCCGAGGTTCGAACTCGGGTCCCTCGCTGATCCAAATCAAGATGGGAAGCGAGAATTCTAACCACTAAACTAACCGCGCTAGAAACACCTGTTTGTTGAAAGGGGGAGTGTTTCGACCTGCTCAACACGACAGGTGTGGATCTCTGGCGGATGTCACGGCGGTGACTCGACAAACCTTCAACCAGCCGCCCCTCCGAGATTAACCTTGCTGTGCACGGCGCCGATCTCCTCAAGTCACTCAGCAATAGGGCGCCTGTGTTACTTTGAACGATTCTGATCTGCAAGGCGCAAATGCCAGAATCGACACAGGTACCGGTAGGATTCCCCTGCAACTTCGACTTCGTCGTCGACCCACCGACCCCAGAAAGTCCTCCACAACATCAAGCCACGGCCGTCAACACTCTCACAAGGACGGATACCAACTCCATACTTCAACAAATTAAGCCTGATTAGCTCAGCTGGTTAGAGCGTCGTATTAATATTTCCACCAGAAGATATCAAGTCATGCGAAGGTCAACAGTTCAATCCTGTTATTGGGCACACCCATCTTTTGACCTCAATGCTCAGGGGTACTATCTTTCTGCCGTGTTTTCCTGCAACAACTACATTTTGCTTTGCAGATGACTACCCTTTGCAGGGCCCAACTCACAGCGAGGGGTACCATTAGGGCGCTACCCCGTCTTCCCCTGAGCCTCCAGCTCCTTGATACTCTCTATCGCCCTCACATATCCCTTCTCCGTTCGCAACCTCTCTGCATACGCCTGCAGCTTCGGGTAACCAGCCAACGCATCCTTCCCACCCTCCAAGCGTTCAGGTTCGGCTGACATGGTCTCCATCGGACAGCTCAGCAGAATATCCGCTACCGTAAGGTGCTCGCCACAAAGAAAGGGCCCTCCGTTCGGCGCGGATGCTAGTTACTCCTCCAGGAATAACAAGTGTTTCTTCATGTTGGGCTTAACGAATGCGGCGTGTGTGTTTCCCACGACGAAAGAAA